GTGAAAGGGTAGCGTCCCATCTTCCAAACCCTCATGTAGACCGCCGACGTGCTCGCTCGCATCGTCATGGCTGTAGGCCTCCAACCCCTTGCTTACATGCCATGCGCTTCCAATGGTGCTAACCAGACTGACGGTGCCTCCGCCAAAGTATTTTCTCAGTGCTAGGATATGGCCGGAGTCTTTACGGACAATGAGCCCGCCCACGTCCGGAAAACCAAAGATCTTGTAGAACGACACGCAAGTAAAGTCAGGTGCGGTGTCAGGGTCTTCGAAGACGTATGACATGGGACTGGTCATTGCCAGCGCTGCAGCATCCAGAAGGGTGTAGGTATTGCGTAGCCTCTTCGTTCTGTCGTGTCGGATCCTCCCTGTCCATGTGAGCGGAAGTTTGCGCCCCGTAAGGTTACTTTGCCCGGGGTATGCAAAGAGAGCAAGACCACCGGGCTGCTGATCAAAGGTATTCCTTCCCTCGATCCACTCCTCGACTTCGGCGTCACTCTCAAAGCACTTGTGGCTAAGTGGTCCCTTGGTCAACTCGCGCACGCCAACAAGACTGGTGTGTGCATCACGATGATAGCCGTACCAGAAGGAGCCGGCACGGGTCTGCTCAGCGAGGTCACGGAAGCAGTCTGCCACGAGCTTGATGGCCGCGGTGGCGTTGGCGACGAAAACGAGGTCAAAGTGGCGTGGGTCAGCGCCGAGGAAACGGAGGGTTTTTTCGCGTACCGAGTCAACCATTTCACCGGAGAACTTGGCAGGCTCGTTGGCAGAATGGGGGTTACCGTAGAGGTTAGCGCGCATCTTGTCAGCGAAACGCTTGATGGTCGATTGGGCGTAGATGGTAGTTCCACTGTGATCAAGGTAGATTCCTAGTCACCGTTAGATTGAAGCTAAGAACAACAAGAAGGGACAGTTGTAGAGAAGGAGAATGTTCAGGAGCTTCCGGACTTACCACTGTTCATGTGAGAATACTCTTCTTTGCGTATCATCTCCACTGGCTTGTTGTACGGTGACTCGGTTGAAATAAGGCGCTTGTTGCCCGAGAATGGGACTGTACGCCAGATGTCAGCTCAGATTAGCTCAAATTGACATGCTTGATTTCTGAAATTGCAGAGGGTAAGTGAAGCAATGTGGGGAAATGTAGCTAGGTTGAACATGCTCTTACAGTTGATGGAGCTCAAAGCTGGATATTCGGAGGATGTCTTCTCTTGTGGTGATTTTCTAGTGCTATCACTCATTGTAGTAACATCACGACGCTCTCGTCCTTTCTTGGAAAGACGGCTGAGAAGGTTGAGACGGCTCATGGTGAATAATGCAATGGTAATGGCGCGGTGTGATGATTCGGAAGTTATGTCCACTTGGTGTTATGGAAGAGGGCATCTATACGGTCTTAAATACTCCTGTAAGACGACTCGGCCTCTAGATCTGAAATCTCCCTAGGTTTCGAGAGACACCCGTGCGGATGTGTCTTCCCGGATCCGATGGCTCGGCTATCACACTCCGAGAGCCGGCATGACGTTTCCTCACTAATGTATGTTGAGAGCGCCATGAAGATGACAAGCTGAACATCATGAGGAAGCACCTATCAGAAGGGAAAGAGGATAGACTCGAGGGCTGGAGTCACTCAACCTGTAACGTCGACCGCTAGCAGGTTCGGAAGCTAGGACAGCGTCACAAACGATGAACAGTGACCTGTTGCTCTCGGAGAGCAAATGGAACTCAATGGACCCCACATCCAAGCATACAAGGAGTTTCTCGGTGCTACCGGATGTCGTGCCAGAAAACCATATTTAGAAGAAGACCAATAGAAATCTGGACTGAGGGTGTTGTCGAGAAGGGTGGGTCAATATTGCTCCCCGGTTTCCAGGTGCACACACTCGGATGTACCCATGTGCTCATCGCGAAGATCAACAGGGACATGAGAGAAACTTGTTGGCTTGTTCGCGTGGAAGTGCACAGTACACTACACAATGGGATGTATGAGCGGTGGAGAGCCTCATCACTCAAGTGTTGTCCTGGCTGATCGTTTCCTTTCTGGATCTTTGAATTTCAAAACATACCCATTGACTTTGACATGCGAGGATCCCGCTCCACGCTTGGTAGTTCGTGAATGGAATCATAGCACAAAGGGTCGGCGTCCGATCTATTGACACTGATAAGAAGTTGAACCGATCCTGTTATACCACGCTCAAGCTGTTTGCCCCAGCACTCGCTTGATGAGTTGATACCACGTAGGAGGCAGAAAAGGCGGAGTTACATTGCTAGAGTGGCTCAGGTGCCAAATCAATGCAACGGCTTCATGTGATGGTCTGCTTCATGCACCATTGCCTGTCGGATGTGTCCTGCTACAAGATAGTCTCGACATAGTTTTGACCAGGTGATGCCGTTTGCGCAAGTGTCTCAGTTTAGCCCCATGGCGTGGGATGGGTTACATGATGGAGTTAGCGTAGGATGGTTCTCGATATTATCCCCGTTGACTGGCAGACTGAACAGCGTTGGTCTCCAATGTTGGCATCCAAAAAGTCGTCATGAGCCCTAATCGTTCGGAGTGCTATGGACTGCCAACACATGCGGTGGCAACAAGTCCCTGTTGTGAAGACAAATGGCCAGTTGGAGGATGGGCTTCACCTCGCGAGGTGATGCTCGTCTGCAGAGTGAAGGTAGAATGGCTTGTGATGCAACCTCAATCGGCGAGCAGTGATAAAGGCCATGAGCTGATACACAGCTCTAATGTTACCTGTTCCCGTCTTGGTTCGATTGTTGTTGGGTTTCATGAGGACAGTCAATATAGCCGGATAAGCATTATACTGCACAGCCAGCTGGACAGGGCCGGAGTAGGCAGATCATGACGTTGAAGTATCTGATTCATTAGAGATCGAGATATGCCGAGTTGAATGAGACCGCGGGTGAGTCCGAACGTTTACCGAGTCTCGGTGTGCTGGATTATCAGTGTACCATCGTCGCTCATATCTCTAGCTGTTGCTCAGCACAAGACAGCTGAGTTTGCCCAGATTTAGCACCAAAGCACTGAATGACAAATACAAAGCGAGTCGCAACCCACGGTTGGCATCTCTAGATTGTACCATAGACATGACATTGCGCACCGTTGAATTGGCTGAGGCCAAGGGACTGGAGATCGCCATTGAGTTTATCTCTGCCAATTGTGATAATGTGTTCAGGATGTAACAATCTCGTGGGCGATCATGTCCCCAAGCGCAATGGTGTGATGTCCGCAGAGTTGTAGGCATCCATTCTTCACTTGGAAGGGTAGGGGCAAGTGAGACACAAGAGGAGGCTGTAGACAGTGGTATGTGAAGTGGGATGGCACGGCTGGAGAATGACAGAGGTTGCCAGCTTGAGGCGAAAGCTGATCAAGTTTGATGATTGGTGAAGATTGCAACCCTCTCCGTGACATGGATTATACCTTTCCCACAACAGTGAAATTGTCAGCAAGGATAAGGCAGAGTGGCGCTTAGACGGGACGGCTGGCAAAGGTCATGAATCTTGAAAATGTGGAAGCAACAAGCACTTCGAGGCTGAGAGTGAGACAAATTTTATTGTCAGTTCCTTCCCATTGGGACCACCACTTCATGGCACACTCACAGTTGAAGTGAGGCAGAAGGAAGGAACCACCCGATAGACTGCAGGATCGAACTAACAGCTGCAAGGTGAGATGATGGCGTTTTGGTGGCTTTTGTTAGCGCGGGTTATCACCAGGCCTCCGCAAAGATTCGGGGCGTTCCTTTTCAGCTAAGTAAGCATTGCAAACTGCGCAGATCTCTTTCAAAACCCAAACCCTAAGGCCCTCAAGTTGAATTTCTGTAATCGCCATTGGTAAAGCTGTCAGTCAGGCCCTGTCAGCTGAAAACGAACACCCCGAGTCCTTTCGGTACCGGTTCCGTCTTCATCAGCTGGCGTCGTCAACAAGAAAAGCTTGCACTTTCCATGTGCGGAAGTGGAAGCTGCGACCCGACCTTTTCCTTGTGTTACCAGCCGTGCTGCGTGCCCGGATGAGCGAGTGAGACTTTAAGGGACTAGATATAGCCCTTGCCTTCTCGAAGTTTAGAGTGCCTCAGCGAACAATATTTTCAGAGGTAGGTACGAGTTGAATTCTGGTAGTTTCTTCCAAGTTCCTGTCAGTCTTGTAGAGCTAGCTTGAAACATGGATCTGCGCAGGAAAACTCCGATTCGATAAAATAGCTAGGTATCTTTCCTCCCAAATCGCCAGCTGTCAAACGCCAAAACTCATGGACGCGAAAGGCAGGCAAGCCAGCGCAACTTGGCTGGGATATTGACCGATCACAGCTCGGAGAATTTAGGACGCCAAAACGTCAAGACATGGCTGGTGAGTTTGGGAACATCGACCTCGTGAAGCCGGCGCTCAAGAGCAGAGCCAAGTGAAATGAAGTTGCAGTTGCGGATGAAGAAGCAATGAAAACGCCGAGTCTGACCGAGGGGACCTATCTTATGTTGTTCTTCGAATCGTTAGCCATCGGTTAATGAGCTGCCTAACTTGGAACTGGCAGGTGCCTCTACTTGACCCGAAAATTTGGTCATTAGCGGCGGTAATTGACACTCTTGGATTAGCCAAGCTTGGAGAATGACGCCTCTTATCCTTGAGCGTTCATGTCAGTATACATCCCTGCCCATCGATGAACCCGTGGATAACACGCGTGTTGACATCGTGATGATGATGTTGCAGTTGCATCGCATCGTTCGCGCCGCCTGCCAGGTCGCATTTCCCTGATCGGCGTTAGCGGTCGATCATAGGAGCCCCGCTAAGTGTTCCCCTGAAAGCCCCGCCTAGTGTACGCAGTTACAAGGCTTACGGCACGCTGCCCCTGTGATCCTTTAGGGGGTGCTAATGCAGTCAGGGGGATTTGTGGGGTCGCTACCTAAAGGGAGATCCCCGCGTCGGGCGACGCAACCTCAACCACACAGGGCAAGGAACCTCAGTGCGAGCTGCGTAAACCACTTCACGGGCACCTCAATCGGGCTACCACCCTCAGAGGTCGACCCAATAACGTACCGTGGTCCAGCTTCACTTCATCACCATCACGGAACGGTCTGGATGATCATTGCGGGTGGCCCTAAATCTCGTACGATTATGACGGCTGAGAAGGCTTGGCAGGATGTGTGTGGGAAGCCATCCAAACCATCGACACGAAGGACAGCAGTGTGGCTGTCGACAGGAATGATAGGTACCCAACCCGCGTGGGAAGCCGACACTACTACCGTCACCACAGCCTGCTGTGGTAAAGTGAATGCTTCGGTACTTTCTTCAAGACATCTTATATGGACATTAGAAGTACTGACAACGGTTGTCCAGGGCTCTTTGGCTCTTTAGCTCTTTTTACCAAAGTGGATATATCCAACCTCTCACCATCCAGATAGGAGAAGGGGGGAGATGTCAGCTGGAAATTCTGGGACGGCATCACTTGAACCCCCCACCCCCCGCTCCCAACCATCTCCTATCTTTCTTTTCCCTCCAATACTCGATCCTGACTTAACAATCGCAAAGTCTATTTCGAATCGGAAATAATCGCTTTCAGCATCTGATCATGCAACAGCAGTCAAAACCTCAGGCTGTCATCACGGCATTGGCATGGGTCACCTTCGACGATAGCTTGACAAGTTCAACTTTATTATCAAGTACTTTTGTTGGGGTGATTTCTGCTTGCATTCATTGTGCATGCAAAGAAATCAGGGACATGTTTGTGTTCAGGTACGTAGCTTAAGAGCTCGCATGCGCCGCTAACCTAGGATAAAACTGAACTCCTAGATAATAAATCATCGGACCGCTAACCAGTGACCCAAAAAAACATGGCCATTTGAGAGATGCTTCCAGAATTGAACCATTAGGCAATATCTATTTTCCCATCATTGACCCCAAGCATTCCCGATAACGTTTCGTCTCAACTCAGAGCATCAACATCATTGCACCGCCCAGTAAGGCAGCCGCTACTCCGGTCATGGAACTCGCGCTAAGGCTGGCTCCAGCTGCAACAGGTAGTGTGCCTGACGGTGAGGGCGCGCCTCCGGTGGTGTGTGCCGAGTCAGATCCGGTAGGGGCAGCAACGCCAGTGGTAGAACCACTGCAAGCCGGCTCGGTGATCTTGAAGTTGGCGCAGGTGATCCTCGTCTTGTTGGGGAAATGGAACACGATGCTGCGGTCGAGGAAGTAGGCATCCGAACCCTCAACGAGTGAGGCGTACTTGTCAACGTAACTGGCGCTGAAGGTGGTATTGCCCGCAGGAATAGCGCCGTACTTGCCGGCCAGATCGCCGATCTGGCACGTCTCGGGCTTACTCTTGTCGCAGACGGGGTCCTCGCCTCGCTCAGTAGGGTCAAAGTGAGCGCCGGTTGCTGTGCAGTTGCCGTTCTCGGGGACGGGTTTGGCGTGAATGTGGTAAGCTGTGAAAAGGTTAGTTGCCTTCTTTCCTGTCCAGCAGGGGTGAACTATGTCGGGATCATACTGAAAGGGCCACCCTCAGGCAGGCCGCTCACTTCAACATTGAACTGCACTCCAACACCGCCGTCGCCCGACTTGGCTACCACCTTGCCCTTGATGTTGCCGCCATTAGGGAAGCCGTTCTTTTGCCAGGCGTTCTCGGGAAGGACCGCTTCGGCAACGAGACAAGAGGGATTGTTGGTCACAGCTGCAGCTGTGGGGAGCTGGTACAACCTCATAGTTAGTATTGGGACGCTTTCTACGTCGTTCTATAGGCAGGAGGTCGATGATGATGAGAACATACAGGCTTCTGGGCAGCAACACCGGTAGCGGCCGCGCCGAGGAGTGAAAGAGCTACTGAGGTACGCATTTTGAATTGTGGTTGAGGTGATAATCGACGATAAGGTTGATAATGCTGACAAGTTGGACTAATGCGGTGTCTCGAGGTTAATCTATGTGACCCCTTTCCAGAGTGCTGAGCGAGTGACTGATTGAGAGAAGCTTGAAAAAAGAATCAAAAGGCACAAGAAGGAAGAGGAAGACGACAACTTAAATCAAAGCTGAACTCAAACGTTGGTCAGGATCTTCCGTCCATCCATGCAAGGGACAAACATTCAAGACCTTGTCCCCGGTTCCTTGGGTGGCGTTTGGGAGGACCAATTTCCACGTGTGCGACCCAACACAGTGAAACTAACAACAGGGGCGTACACATACCTCGTTTTCTTGTTTCTGCTTTCTTGACCCTCGAAAATACCCGAATGCGTTACCAACCCGGCTGACCGTTGACGTCGATGTCCTCCAATCAAACTTTTCCCTTTTTTTGATGAAGTGGGATGGGGTGGGATGTGAACAAATTCCGGTTCTTCAGGCGAGTTGAACTAAACTAGCCCTGTAGGAACCGTTATCTCGTTCGCTTCTGTTGGATCTCGTCAAAAAGCAGTTGGTTCGTTGTTGTTGTTGTTGTTTCTTTTGTGTCCTGCTTTTTGCTGTTGTTTCTGCTAATGCTGCTGAGCCGTACAACTTTGTACTTGGCGAGGCAAAAGAAAGAGAGCGCTAAGCTTGGTCGTACCTCTTATATATCAAAAACAAATTTCGAATGTCCTTGTGTTCTAAGCGGACGCGGGAACTCATGAAGATCTCTCCTGCTTGGTTCTGCTTTCTGCTCCGGTGCTTCCACCCTCACAAAGTCACGAAGCCCAGGGGGCCCAGTTGGAGGTGAGGGCCACCTAAGAAGGCCGGCCCGAGGCAGGACAGGGGCGGAGTTCACCACTGTAACCTATCGAGGCTAAATCTACCGTAGCAAGTCAACGGAAGCGGGCGGGAAGAGAGAGGCGGGACAGGCATCAAGTGGAAGTGTTCAACCGGCTAACTAACGGACGGTATTCGTTGGGGAGTCATTAGTGCTGTACGCTACTTACTGGCTAGCTCGCTAGCTGCATATGGCAACCTAAGACAAGGGCCAATTGCGATGGAAACGCCAAGCCACGAATGTTTTATAACATGTCAATCTTGTCTCTTTGATGGGCTGGAGTTACGCCTGAAAGAAAGGACTAAAAACAGAACAAAAAGGTCGAGCGTTGTAGGAGCGGGGTGCAAAGCGGGAAATTGCATGGCCCCCGTTATACAATTCCAGTACCATACCGCCGCTGCCACTCAGCTTGGTATGATCCTACGGGCTGTTCAGGCTGTGTGACAAAGGTGCGTTGTGTTGTTGGGTCGCGATACCTACTGTTAAACGGCAAGGAGTGCTGTGCTGGTGCTTTCCCGGAAGCGGGTGTCGGTTGGCGATTTGTCTTGGCCTTCATCTTGGGGCCGTTGAGTGGATGTCAAATAAAGGAACTAGACTAACATTTCGCTTGCCCCTTGCCACAGAGGCACGTTTGATTGAGCAAACTGTCTTGGATTGATAGGGGAGCCGGGAAACTAGAAGTTGCGAAAGTGACATGGCGGTTAAGGGGAAGTTGAAAAATGTTGAAAATGCTGGAAGATAGTATGAAAAGGATGAAATGAAACGGTTTTTCTGCACTGTTGGTTGGTTGGTTGTAACGACAAGTGGGAGGTAAAGCACCGCTATACTTAGGTAGATTTGTAATTGAGTAAAACCGCATCGAGTGAAAAAAGCGGTAAACCATCACGTGGATGGGATGTGATGAATATTAAGTGATCATGTATGCTTTTCCTCTTCACTAGTTGATCATGATGGTTCGTCCATTTCATCACTTGAGGAATCAATTCAGCGAGCGTCAATTCCGATCCGGGCTCCGGAGCGGTCCGTGTGGTCACTTGCTTCATTACTCCGCAACGTTTTTATTGTCATTTTAACCGCCCATCCAAGGCTCCGGTGCGATCAACACTCGGTAATAACGGCGTGCTAGTGTGCTGTTGGTGCTGGCGATCGCTCTGTACGCGATGGGACTGATTGGTAGCAGCGACTAAACTTCTCGGCGAGCTAGCAAGATCACTTCGGTAAAAGCACCAGACGAGTAAAGTCTACGTGATGCTATTGGTGGGTTATTAATACTACCGTGCTGTGGAGAGCGTAGTATACTGTAGTGTAGTGTACACTAATCGAAATGACAGGTACATTTCCCCACAACCCAGCCTCCGTCCTAACTGCATTTCCATTTGCAACACCATCGTCTATCACTACTTTCCCACCCCTACAATCACCAGTCAAAGCGACACGTCAAAATCATTCAACATCTTAGAACAGCTTGATGGTGCGTATGTAGGCCACGGTAAGCAGATCTACAGCCTCGGTGTTGACATTTGACACAGGGCAGCCGGCCATGACACGACCACATCGTGGGACGTACGTACTGCTTCCCAAGGCTTAGTTCAGAATGTAGGAATCAACTTGAGATCCTGGACTAGACATATGATTAGGAAGAAGCGCGTGGAAAGGTTACGCAACACGTTGTTAGATGAGTGGCTTCCCACTTGGTACCTGAGCATTTTTTGGATCGGGATGCAGAGGTTGAAACAACATGGATTTGCACATTAGAGGAACAAAGGGGGAAAGCGATAAACGGGAAAACGAAAAAAGAGTGACATACAGAGAGAAAGTAAGGGAAGAGGAAGAAGGAGAGCACTGAGGGTGGCCATAGTGAGAATGGGAAAGTCTGAAACTGGCCACGGGTGGGTATCATGCAGAATTTGAAGATTCAATGTGAGGCTGAATGAAAGTGACAGTGAACGGTGTGTAATAAAACAAAACAAAACAAAACAAAACAAAACAGAATGCGCGCCTGACACAGGGGAAGGCAGTTCGGGTGGCTGCAGCGGAGGAAGTCCAACTTGGCCTTCCCACCTAGCGCTGTGTATGAGGAAATAAAGTGACATTTGGGGGAGATTTGAACATTGATTTGTCTTACTTTACAGGGTGGGAAGGAAATATGGCGGGTTTTCGAAATGCCATAGCAAAATTACATATGACGGGCGTCAGAAAGAGAGGTTGTGTAATCTGCCTTCGCAGTCTGGCGAGGGGAGTCTATAGACTGGCCGCCATCGTGGGTTCCGGACAATAGATGCCGTTGAAGCGATGGCGGGGCGGGGGGCGAAGCCAGACAGGCGGCCGTATGAAGGCCAACGTGAGCTGTTGGAGTTGTCATCGTCGGGCATCCTGTGCATCAAGGTATACGGCCGGCTGGAAGGGCGTTTGAGGTATGAGGCAGGGCTAGAAGCGCCAAGGAGTGCCCCCGGTCGGTTCTGCGCGGCTATCTCATCGTATCAAGTTCAAGCACATTCCAGGCCACCCACGCGCTCTGGTCTATATCTTTTGTGCTGAAGATAAGTTTCATGATGAGGCCGTGAAGTTGGTCTGAGAAGAAGTCGGTTTTCGCAATTGGAGCGCACATGCTTTTGCGGCATGGAGATGATTGTGAATTCCGTGTTGTCCGTTCTGATGTGGCCATGGCGTCCGGGAGCCAGATGTTTGGTTTTTCGGCGCTGCGGATGAAGTCAATCTACAATGTCGAGTGGTCTTGTCGGGAAGCTGACGCGATGCACTTGACAGGATGTCAACAGTGTATGGAAGGAATGGTGTTCATGTTCCTACCATACAGATAATTGATACAATATGTGTGCCAATTACTCGAGCTATTGGCGGGGTGTTGGGTTATTTGTTGTATGTAGATTATATGCAACCAGATAAGGCAATGGACGCTTATCGTCAATAGGTACCTAGCCCGTGCGGGGTACGAGCCCAACCATCGTCAACTTCCTTCATCCTCCTTCAAACACTGACCAACCTCTTCCCGATGAGGTGTCCGTTGTCCCAAAAAGCGCCAAGTTATGAAGAACAATGTCCGAAGAGCCTAATTATGAGCAGAACATTGGTTTCGACGCCCAGGAGGAGGCGGTTCAGTCAACACGACCCCGCCTGCATCTATCACCGGAATTTCTCTCCAAACGCCTACACTACTGTTCCAAATGCAGATGGATATTCCAGAATGCAGATCTGAGTATCCAGGACTACCCGGGAAAAGAATATGACTTTCATAACTGGGCGGGGTTGACTGACGCGGCTAGGGAGGGATGTCACCACTGTTACGTTCTGCTAAATACCTTGGACGAAGAGCATATCTTGCGACTCACGGGTCCATGTAAATTGGAGTCGCAAGAAAATCAAAATCCACTCAAGTTACGAATACGGTCCTATGACCGTGCCTGGACTGGGACGCCTGGCATCATGACATCGTGGGAATTGCATTCGGTCAAACAAAAACTGTATGACATACACTTGGAACCACTCGAAGATGGTATAGACCTAAGTAAGAAAATGGCATATCGCACACGTCTTTCCCTTTCTTGAGTGATTCAGCGGCTAACTCCCTACTCTTATTCTTTGTCCTGCCAACTAGGTGAAGCAGAAGGTCGGTTCGTTGAGTGCACAAGTACCGACAGTGAAGCCAGCTGGAAACAGATACTCAGCTGGGTCGACCAGTGCTCTGCCACCCACCCTTCCTGCAATGCACGGATTCGTCAGGATTCTCGGGATCGCAAGCCCACCCGGCTGTTATTTGTGGGTGATCTTGTCAAATCTTGGGTCAATCTTTGCGAGACAAAAACTCTGGATTTATCGCGAACAGATTACATGACGCTTAGTCATTGTTGGGGTGACGGTGTTCCGCTACGTCTCACACACGACAACTACAACAGATTTCTTGCAGGGATTGAGGTCAGCGAAATACCGAAAACATTCAGAGATGCCATTGACGCAACCCGGCGACTGAGCGTTCAGTACTTGTGGATTGACTCTTTGTGTATTGTCCAAGACTCTCGGGAAGATTGGCTCTACGAATCGGCAAAGATGCATCATATCTATCAGAACTCATACCTCAATCTCATGGCGGCTGCTTCATCCAACTCCCACGGTGGGCTCTATTCATCCAAGTATCCCTTCCTCAGTATCCCATTTCTTGTGCCCCTCGGAGATCCCCGCAACCCAAAAATCGCCTGCTATCGTTACATGAATGCTAGAAGAGAAAAGCTCGATAATCTCACTCTCTTCTCAAGAGGTTGGGTGATGCAAGAGCGGGTCTTGGCTCGACGAAACCTGATCTTCGGAAAGGAGATACATTGGGAGTGCCACGACTCTACCGGGTCCGAAAGCTTCCCTGTTGGAACTGCACTTGAAAAGCGACAACACACTGTCGATGGTCAAACAGATGCAAGCCGCCGCACTGTCTGGCAAAATATCGTGAAGAACTATTCACGCTTGAACCTGACGTTTGCAAGCGACAGGCTCATTGCAATTGCGGGCATGGCCGCCGAGTTGGGACAGCTCTGGAACAGCGTCCAATATTACGCCGGTCTCTGGTCATTGCATCTCCGTGCGAGCCTTCTGTGGTATAGCAGGAAGCCCTCTGTTCAGGCGAAGAGTTTTGTAGCGCCATCTTGGTCGTGGGCGTCTGTCGGTACAGAAGTACAGTGGTTTGACGCTGACGACTTTGATGGGTTAGCCGAAGTTTTGCAGGTGGATGTTGTTTTGACGTCGCATGGACATCCATTTGGCCCTGTGACCAGGGGGTCTATCCATCTCAACGGGCCCATGTGCCAAGCGAAATTAGTCAAGACAAAGTATACAGAGATCTTGTGCTTCGATCAAGACACTGAAGATGCGGTTTCAAAAGCTGACATGCCCGAGGATGATGCTCCCAACAATGAAGCCGGATTCCGCACAACGGTGGTGCTCGACCACTACCCTTGGAGCGAGCAAGAGATGGCTGCTGAGACGGACGTAGACATCACAGTTTACGTGGCCCCTCTGCAAACCGACATTGACCTCAAACTGACATATTCCGGTCTGCTGCGACTGGGCGGGCTCCTTTTGCTACCAACAGACTCGTTTTCAGGACAATTCCGAAGAATCGGGCACTTTTTTATCCACGACCAATGGGGTATGGAAGGCCGACGCGTCTATGAGGAGCGGATAGCACAAATGAGAAAAGAAGGGAAAATACAGCAGAAGGATGTGAAACTCCCAGGCTTTGTGGACCGAGAGGAGTGGTTGAAAAGAGACCCGTTTGGCAACGGTGTGATCACCAAAACGCTCCGCTCTCGCTATATCTCGGCCGTTGATCTGGGTTATGCTGGGGAGATCAGTAACTTTTTGGGTTACATCGATCGATGTACTGAAGAGCACAGGAAACTGGGTATTATGGACCCTAACCTTGGAGAAGAAGATGTTGAAGCCAGGGGGTGGTACAGATACGAGATTGTCTGAGAGCTATCAGCGAGGGCATCTTCGTCAAGTGAGTGTTCACTCGGCTCAACGGTCTCACTATGATGTTCGAGAAGAGAATGAAGCTGATCATTCGAGAATCATAAGCCCAGGGCTGGCACACAGACACTAACTCACCTCAGCCGATTTCTCCTTTTGCCTTCTCTAAATTCGGTCGGCCCAATATGTACAACAAACTCGGACAAGAGCAAAAAAAATCTAGAGAACAAAAAACCGACTCGCGGCCCACATCTGGATGTCTGTATCAGTTTCTGTATCAGTTTCTGTTCCAAGGATAGGTTGTTCTATATGAACCTGCAATATGAAATTGAAAATTCGAGACTCGGACCTGGCGAGCCTACACTAGTCGCTCAAACGGTTTCGTCTTTTTACACAGCCATCTTCCGACTCCGGTGACCAGTGAAATAGCACACTAACTGAAAGGCTGGAAACTCTTCCACAAAGCTGTTAGGATACCATCTCATTGCATCTGGTTTTGGTGGACGATGCTACCGCACAGACCATTCTCGACCCACCCCACTCCATCGCCAATTCTGCGATGCGTTTTCCCTCTTTCTTGCTCAAAACACCAGCATCCCGCATCACCGGCCGGCCCTATAGATGTGAAAGTAACAGAATACTACCCCATATATGGTTGCAGCCAGGGCAATTTGCGACCTAATCGACACCGAAACAAACACCATTACCAAAGGCCTCCATAGCTTCATCTGTCAATCAACCACTACCAGCCTCCGCTTCCCTCATCATCAATCATCATTATCATCATCATCATCATAGTCTACAACACTTCGCCTTCAAGGCTTTCACGGGTCGCAGTGCCGCCCGCGTCAGAGACTCCTTCAGGCAACGAAACATCATGTCGTCTGGAAAAGACCTGCGTTTTCCAGGATGTACCCCTTGCTCACTCATGACCACAGAGGAGGCCCAGAGGCCAAGAGCTCAAGCCGTCGACAAAGCAGCCACAAGCGGGATCAAATAAATCACAATCGTCCACCTCGCCCAAAGCCTCCACGTTCGCTCCTCGGCACCCGCACTCCTCTGCGTGAGTACGCGACTTGCCAGAAACAGCGAGTAGAGCACAAAATAGGCAGCGACTGTGATCTTCAGCTGCCAGAACCACGCGCAAACAAACGTCCAGAGCGGCATCATCATGGCCAACTGTGCCCGCGGGACCGCCGCTTCGCCGAGGAAGATGGCTAGCGTCTTTTTGCGCTTCATGGTCTTATCACCGCTGCTGCCCTCTTGGTTCCCCGGGATGGGGTGGTCCCTGTGGTTCTTGAATTCCTGGCAACCGATGGTGGTGGCAATTAGGACGCTGACGAGGTTGAGCCAGGTCCAGGTGTGGCGATGTGGGCTACTGCTGCTGCTGCCAGCCATGAGGACAATCTTGAGAGAGGCAGAGTTGATATACCCGAACGAGATGCCGAGAATGATGTCGCGGACAAAGAGCTCGTTACCGCCGCTGAGGTCGTTGTAGATGAAGGCGAGGAGGTGGATCACCAGCCCTTCGTGCCAGACGCCGAGAAAGTGGTTGAGAGCGAGGGTGATAGGGAGCAGGGTGAGGTAAATGCGGCGGATCTGCTCGGGCGTTGTGACGGTCTTGCCGGAGGAGGGCGGGAAAGGCATCCAAGGCTTCTTGTCGTTGTTGAAGCGCTCGTTGGCAATGGACCCCTCCTGGGGCCGCTGGTTGCCGAGATTAAAGATGAGTAGGGCGTAGAAGTTGAAGAAGTAGGTGAGTGGGAGTCTGGTAATTATCTCGGGAAAGGTAGGGCCCGCGCCTTCGAAAGCCTTGCCGCGGAGGTATGCATCAGCGATGGCTGCTGTGATGCCGAAGATGGCGTTGGGTAGCGTGGCAGTGAAGAGGTCATCTTTGGCGAAGGCCCAAATTACTTTGCCGACTGCTGATACGTTTTCGAAAAAATCGGCGGCGGGAAAAAGAGGAAGCCGTCCTAGGACAGCCTCATCGTCCTTTCCCACGGTCACAGATTCGGACTTTTGGTGCGCCGGTCCAGCACCGAACAAGGAAAGCAGGCTTCTGAGTGTGGGAGATTCGGACTCAGCTGATAAGTGAGAGGGAGCGTGGGAGGCCATGCTGCTCAAATTATGTACAAGGGGGGTGGAGAGCTGGGTGAGTGATGAGGAGTGTACATCCTTGGAACGTCCAGCATGGCATCATTTATACCCGCAGTCTCGGTTGGCATTATCACCTTCATCGAGATCAAGTCCGTCCTCGGCAGCTATGTCCCATGCTTCGATCGCACAGCTGTGGATCGCCAGTTTATAGGACCAGTTTCCATTTAATACTATTGGATGCCGGGCTGCTATGATTTTGCGCGGATCATCCGGGCTGTTCGCCGGACTTCCCGAACGAGTGGAGCTCTCGAGAGCACGGGCGGTCTCATGCCATCAACGGACCTTGATTTGACGACAATCATTCCTCTGTTCGTGACGCGAGTTGAGCGAGGCATAATCGGCATCGAAATCTGAAAAAATTGACTGATATCATACCACACATGACACTGCTGACTTTCACTGACTGGTATGTTAGAAATGGATCTAAAGCGAACGATTTCCCTTTACCATGAACTTGCAACAATATCTAGATGACTCTGACTTTTCCACTTTCTGCTTAAAGAAGGTCAGAAATTCGAAACCCATAGACGTGCGTACAGTAGAAAAGGAACAGAACCAGGTAGCTCCTATCGTGGCTTTCCTCGAACTACAGTGGAAAGAATCCTCTGGAACTAGTTCTCATGGGAACTATCATTATACGATTTGGGTCGTTGCACAAGGAACCCACATCAGTCGCTATCTTGAACCGATTAGCTGTTGGCACAATTTGTCAGTACTTCATCGACGCCGCAAGACCAGAATGCGCATCAGGCAGGTGGGGTACCTGCTCGGAGCCAGGCTATACCTAACAACCCACCATCTACACTCGGTTCAACTTGACTAGATGTACATTTCTCGGAACTCTACATACCACGCAGTATGTCACCCACCCCAATCCCTGCATCCCTCGCCATCATCCTAGAGATACCCACCTTTGTATGTTACCCCTGATCACACGTCAACACGTGAATATGTTCCCAAGTCTGATAGGAGACGAGGCGTCAACCACCATGGTATCGCCAAAGGGCCCTTCCCGGACACTCGTCAAGTCTACGGCATGTCTCTTCAAATAAAGGAATGAGATCCTGGGTACTGACATGTCTTTGAACAAGGCTGCTAAATGTACTCTCTTGATCGCATATCGAAAGTAGACAGATGTTTACTTCGCTTTCGCACTAAAGCATGCCTCCATACTCTGGCAACGCAATTATGCCCCCAACGATGATCGGATGTCTTCGCAGAAATTTAACTACAAAGGACCACACAAAATCAAGTCTAGTACACGAGATCGGGTCACTCTGACTTAACGAGTCGCCACTGCTCTTTTGAGATGATCTCTTGTCGTGCAATTTCGATATTTTCTCGGTCGAGTATCATTCTGTGTGTACACACTTCAGCTACAAATTAGCGGCCCATTTCAACCAGCTCACAGTGATTTGACTTGCGTCGATAAATAAAAAATAAGTAAAAAAAAGAAGAAAAAAAAAGACACTGGGTTCCAGAATGGAATCATTTGCAATGGTCATCACCTAACCGAAAAGATGCAAAAAGTTTGACAACTGTGAGATTCGAACTCACGCATCTTGCGATACTAGAATACACCGCACTGTGTGCAGAAGAACATGTTCTTGAGTCTAGCGCCTTAGACCGCTCGGCCAAGTTGCCATCTACAGATTATTGAGTTCGTAGTTGATAGCAGGGGCATAAGTACGCCATGCAAAATAAGTAGCACCACCACATTACCATATACCAAGTCTATACCGATCTTGAACATTTTTTTGTGCCAGTTCTACACTTTCTGGGACAATTTCTCGTATCAACCATCTTATCAAAGAATTGCTGAAACTCGTGGAAAGTGTGTGTCACTCCTGATGCTGTTCAGCTCGAAAGCTCTTTGGGTCGGCGACAAACGGCGAGTCGTAGGCCGTCCGTTTGCAAAGGAACTTACTTCGGGATGGGACCTGTTCAGCGCAATCACTTTAGGCTGTGACATTTCTTCCTCCTTTCTGTTTCCTTCTGCTTGCCTAGAATCAAAGCTATTTCCCCCCTCTGGCTTCCGTCGTTTTTTTCTCAGTGTCTCTTCACTTCGTTGCCAAGAGAGCTGGACAGGACAGAACCTCTGTGTTCATTGCCATACGTAGCAGCGGCACATCACCAGTACAACAACAAACAGAAGAGCATCAGACCTGACAGATCTACACGCATTTTATCATAGCTGTATCGTAAGTGTCCGCACTCGAAGTTCAGAAACTCTTCAACATTCTCCTTGGCTAACACTCAGCAACGGAAAGAGAATGAAATCCCTCTGCGCCATTCTGTTCCGCTCGTTACATCAGCGACGACCATTCGGCCTCGACCGCCTAGTGACTGCGGAAGTAACAAGAACAGTAGGGCTGAGTGCAACAATTCCCCTCGCGTTTGGGCACTGGCAATATGTCGGGAACACCGCTCAGGGACATAGGCTGAACTCAACCAAGGCCAACCAGCCGAACGACAAGAAGAAGCCAACTGGGAAAGGAAATAAGCCGAAATTGACAAGGGAAGAAAAGAAAGAAAGAAAAGAAAAACGTGAGAAAGTTGTCAGGGAGTTCAACGAGTTCATAGGCAGGAGAAAACTCGAAGACTGGAAGAAACTCTGCGAGACCATTGGTCTGGATGGCGAGTTCAACAGTATTAACAGCTGTCGAGAGGTATGTATCTGTGTTGGGGCTTTTCGTCCTTTTTGGCCCCATGCTGAGAAGCAGTGAGCACTAACAGCCATTACTTACAATACAAAAACAGGCCATCGAAGCCGTGCACGTCAACATCTACGACGTTCTAGATGCCGATGCTACCAATCAAGCTGGAGGGAAAGCCAGGCCTCAGCGCTTCCAGACTCCCTATGAGCTTTCGGAGTATTCCAAGCGAATGGACAAGATCTACCCGAGGGAGGATATTATCAGAAGTGAGCCAGAGGGGGCATTATTAAAGCATATCGCCAATCCACGTTTGGATGAGGAGTGGCAGAGAGAGAAGGAGGAGAAGATGCGGAGGAAGAAGGAGATGTTGAAGAGAGAAAGAGGAAATTAAGACTGCAAGAAATGTCTACAAGGAAAGGAATCTATCTAACTCAATCACCCGGCGAACAAGGCATATGGGGATAGGGACGAGGTTAAAGACATGGCATGTGCATAAAGAATAGCACAGGAATACGATTTGTTGCCATGGAGCAACGTTTGCCGAAACTCCGAGTCTGTTAGGCGTATGCCGTCCAATCCCTTGAATCACCCCTTTTCTATATTCTGCACTATTTTTCCACAAACACCGCCAATCATAACACCCTACACCATGCTCACACCTAACTCCTGATCTCCCACATCCTAATCTTGCCCACATCATTACCCACCGCCAACACATCACCACCATTCTGGTGGCTAAACGCCACAGCAGTGATCCTACCCAAAGGCGTTTGCTCCGTAGGCCAGTTCCTGTAAACGGTGCAGCTAGGCAAGTGCACCAGCCTTAACGCGTCCTTCTTGTGGAAGCTACCAAACGCCAATAGCTGACCGTCCGGCGCGAACGTCACCACTGAGATGGGCGTCGTGAGCTGCTCAAACGTCCTCTGCGGGGTGGGGATGCTCTTAATCTGCACCGTCTCCTCCTTGGACGCCAACGCACCACCCTCCTTTTTAACAGGCTCAACCAGATCATTCCGGTCATAAATGTTCAAAATGCCGCTATTCGAGCCCACAGCCACCCAGCGATCGCCACCAATCTGGCTAGGGCCGGTGCCCTTCTGCCCGCCCAGCGCAATCACCGTGCCGCCGATCGATCCTTCGTCGCGCCAAACGCCGACCGTGCGCCGGCTGAGCATGCTCCACTCGGTGACCTGGCCGTTCTTGCCGAGGATGGAGAGGCCGTTGCCGTTGCCCCACCAGGCGAAATCGGAGATGCCGCCGCGGCCATTGGTGCGCGCTTGCGCGATCCACTGCATCGTGCGCACGTTGACGATGTTGATCATGCCGCCGCCCTTCTTCTCGGAGGCGATGAGCCCCAGGTAGCGTCCGCAGGGCGAGGGGCGGAAGTGCTCCATGGTGCGCTGCTCGCGCTGGTGGCCCTGGATCTGGGTGATCTTCTTGACAGCGCCCGACGAGAGGTTCCAGCTGTGGAAGTAGCGCCGGCGACCGGCGAAGATGATGTCGTCACCATCGGGACCGAGGAACTCGGAGCGCCGAAGGTCGGTGCGCTTGACTTGCACCGACGTGAGGGCCGGGTTCGGAACCGGGTGCGCGGTCGGGTCAACTTGGTGCAGGTACATGATGGAGGAGACACTGCACGAGAGCAGGATGGGGTGCTTGGGGTGGAAGGACAGCGAGCTGACGGACTGCTTGTGAATGTCGGGGATGTCGCGCGAGCGCTGAATGTCGATGGTCTCGGGGCGCAGCTTGCGGCGCTTGCTGCCACGGGCATCGGCGCTGGCATTGAAAGAGTTGACGTCGCGGAGGAAGGTCTCGAGAGGAAGGGCGGATTCGACGTCGTCTTCGGCGTCACTGTCTTCCTCGGAGGAGGAACCGGCGGCTGAAGATCTTCTCCTCCGGCGCTGGGTGGCGGCCGAGGATTCCTTGGCCCACTCCGGAAGGGGGTATAGTCGGAGGTACTGCGAGCGCAGGCGGCGCGCGTACTCGGTGCCGTTCACGACATCCTCCTCTTCGGACTGACGCAGCTTGCGCAACCGCGAGGCAGCCGCAAGGGATACTGTCAACCGCTCGTCATCGCTGTCCTCCCACGCTGGAGGGTCCTCCTTCTGCTCGTAAGCCTCTAGTGCAGAGGGCGTGGCCTCTGTCTGCTTCTTATCGCCGGGAACGCCAGTATCGAACGCGAAAAGAGCGTTATCGTCGACGTGTTCGAGGCCAGTCGTGTCATCTTGCTTGTCGGTCCTAATGAGAGCCTTGGAATCGGTAATATCGGCGAGGAAGTCGTCGCGGAAAAGCTGGGCGCGGAAGGTGTCGTTATTGCCCAAGACAAAGCGTTCGAGGTCTTCTTCGTCAGAGTCCTTCTCGTCGATATCGTACGTTTTCCTCGGGTCGCCAATTGAATCCATATCGGAGTCGTCCTCCTCCTCGTCGTCTACCGACATGTCATCATTGTCGTGCATCTCCTCATCGCTCTCCTCGTCGAATCCAACGAATTCGTTGTCGTCGGCAACTTCGTCTTTCGTCTGTGGCGCCATTTTGTTCTGATTTGAGAGATTGCGCAAAGCCCAATAACGGGAAATTTTGCTATGAGATCCGGTCCTGGTCAAATGGAGTTGAAATGGACGGAAATGCCACGGCCAGTCGCTAGTGTTTGGTTTGTTTTGAGGTTGGGAACTTTTTTTTCGTTATCATTCAGCCTTGCAGATCGCAGATCCTGTCCCACTTAATCTGGACCCACTTGCTATCACAAGCATGCCAGCCTTGTTCGATGAGTTCGAAGTACTCCTTCAAAGAAAAAAAAAAAAAAAAAGGGAAACTTATCCGAGACCTCAATGCTACTGTCATCAACAATAACTTTGTAATGAAGATGACCTGATGTGAACTCATTTGAAAACAACAAGTGTGACCAGTTACGAACTAATACTATGATTATGAGCCAAGCAGAGCAAATATATGATTTCGAAAAGAACATATGCATGAAGAGTACGTGGTGTTTTCGTATCATTGCAGATATTCCCATGTCATCTCACAGCCGCGTTTTTGATTTTTGGACGACAAGCAAGTCTAGAGCCTAGCTTAACAACAGAGCACAGCTAATGCCCACCACACACAACAAGTCAAGTGCATGCTTGCAGCTCGCCAGCCCAGAACCACTACCAACATCCGATGTCTCAATAACCGTCGAATCACCAGGAGCAAAGAGGGCGCCGAGCTCGTTAGTGTCTGTCCGATCGATGTTCTCGGGCGCCAGCAACGGGTTATCAAGTGATTGGCAAGACGGGCGGTCGTCGCTTTTGCTGATGCTATTGGTCACAGAAATGGGAAGATCAAACATCGTGTAGTGGTTTTCGCCATTGAGTCTGAAGCGTTGGTGGATGGAGATCTTGTGAGTTGTCAGTGAAATTGCTATCAAGACAGTCTTGAGCTCACTATTTGGAAAACCCACATTGTAACTGCCACGATCGTTCCCATTCGTACCATCGCCAACCATGCAGTCAGGCCATGTCCACCGGACATGCTTCACGGTGCTACCAGGCTCGGAGAGCATGATATCACCGAGTGTGGCATTGTTGACCGACGCAGTACCGTTGGTGATGGTGAAGTTTCGGCCCGTTACATAGCTGTAAAGGAAGATGTTGATGTTGTAGATTTGGCTGGAAGCGTCGTCGCCGTAGGGCGGCAGAGGAAGCTTGCCATTGGCAGAAACATCGAGCGCAATCTCAATGTTGTCTACATAAGTCATGGCTTATTAGTAGCAGTTCCTTAAGTCCTTTGCCGACAACCAGCCGGGTACTAATAGTACTAACCTCCGCCAAGAGGCGTGTCCGGCTGGGGGGAATCGACGACAACAAAACCAGGGGTGAAAATCTGGCCATTGCTAATGGTAAAGTTGCTCGCAAGACCCTTAGTCGCAAAAAGTGCCGCAGCTGCAAACACAGCGAGAGACAATGATTGTGTCATTCTCAGCAGTGTGATTCAACGATCTCGGCGGGTCAAGTCCTTGGAATGCGAAGGGAGCTAAAAGAAAAAGGCAATTGTCAAGAACTAGACCGGACAGCAACTAGGCGTATCCTGGATAAGAAAGACAGCTAACTAAACTAACGTATGGATGAAAAGATCTTCAGATTGACGTTTTTGAAAAGGAGAGAAGATAAAAGATGGGAAAGGGAAGCACAAGTACGTATTGAGGAAATCAGAAAGCTTCCAAGATACTGCCGCGAGATTGAAATTGCACCGTGACATTGGTGAGAAGTGACTAACGGAGTCAAGCCAGGGGAAGAGCTTCTCTTATTCCAACATGGTTAGGTCTGCATCCGAAAGTGATGAAGTTGTGTGGGGATATCAGGTGTTTTCCAGATCCTGAGTTCTGAAGCCATTTCCACTTTGGCCGCTTGATCCAAAGCTAAAGTCCAAGTGCCGGATATGCAGTACATAGCAGATATGGAAGACGGGGTTTACGGCTTCTTGCATAAGATCGACGTGCGCCGTTTCGAGTGTCGGAGGGTCTCGCAGTGGGTGTTCAGGTTGACATGTTGAGGAATGAGTTGCGGTTGCGAAAGAGGAGAGTTGACAATGGAAATTATGCATCGATGCAATTGAGTTTCTCGCGCGTTTCATGAGCTTCGGTTCGGATTCTGGAAAGCCTGAACCCCTGGCAGCCCATTTCCCAGTGGAGCTCGCCAAACAGGAAGGAGGCCCGCTGGTGCCGGATGAGCCAACCAACCGTGCTGTTTCCCATCGAGTCATCCAAGTACCTGTGGCTAAAATGAACAAAAGCGATAACAACACAAGGGATAAAGGCTTCGATGATGCACAGACCATACTTATGCGAAGGTTACGGCGTCTATGATCATTCCGGTGAGCGCCGAAACCGAAGCCGGCTCCGGCTGGGAACGGTCTTGGCGCGGACCTAGCCCGGGGCTTGGTGCTTCCTTTGGCTGAGTGGGTTTTTTCCCCAGTGTCGATAGCACACTCCGCGACCAAACACCTTCCTGAACAAGAGAAAGTCGCAACCCGAGCCTAACAGGTCAAAACACACTAGTCGTAGGGGAACACCTCCAGGTAATGATCCTGCCCGATAACCTCTCCTCTTCACCACCGACAGCAACCAACCGACTGATTTCGAAAATTTGTAAACCATAGGTTTTACATTAGCATCGACTGTCAAGATGCCGTATACTCTGTACTACCTCCTCTAAGACTCTCATTTCATTCACTTCAGGTTGGTTGCATAAATGTCAACAGTCATTTCTAGTGCACCTACTTGGGGGGTTCTGGGCGCCAAGGCTTCCTTTCCCCCCTCTTTTTACCCTCTAAAGAGGGGGCGCGGAAAATTTGGGACAGCATTTTAATTTGGGATAGTACCCGAAATAACCCATACAGATTTACCTATTAACGCCCTGCAAAATCGCTCATTTACATTATGAATTTCGTATAATAACAACGCCAATAATAGTATACTCAATTGCTATTTTTCATTATATTGCTTCGTAAAATTATAAATTAATAAGACTTCTATATATTTATAAATTAATCGAATCGCTAGTTAATTTACTAGTACTAATACCTATAGATTATTCCCTCGTCCCTTACGCTAATATAGCTACTACTTAATAGTATATTAATATACGCTATTAATATTATTCTCTAAAATCTAACGATAGTAATAGGAAACTACCCTTAATAAAGGATATTATACGTATAATTGGGGAATTTTATAATTCGATTGGCCGTTATACAAAATTATTACGGGAGACCGGTAAACCAGTTATATTATTATAGCTACGGGGGCGCCTACGGTCGTTAATTTTTATTAAGGAGGAGGCTATTATTATATATATAATATTCTACTTTAGAAGAAAATTCCCTATATTATAGTCAATAATAATACGTATTGTAAATTAGTTACGGTTGATAAGGGTAAACCCGCTATTAATTGAATTTAATAGGCATTAGTTTATAAAGTTTATTACCGATTATCTTAAATTACATTCGACAATATATTACACTATAAATTTTAAGTATTGCTTTTGGGAATTGAATATTGAGTTTATAAATGATTAGTTTAATAAATATAAAGATATCGCCGCCGTTATCCCTTTTTGTAACCGTTAGAATAGTAATGAATATAGCGCCCGCATTAGCTACGTATTAAATAGTTGCATAAAGGTTATTATATTGAGGGAGTTAGGGGATAAGAGGAAGGTTAATATAAGATACCCTTTAATTAAATAAAATCCCTTTTAATTATATAATTTACACTTTACTATTTACTATATTAATTATTAAGTTAATTAGAAATATTTAATCTAATTAATAGGGAATTATATACTCTAATTACTAGAGTAAATACTATTAGGCATTATATTCCTATTTACCTTATTTTTAAAATTAATTTAATAGAAGAGTTTATTAATAACGAGCTTCCCAATAATATACGTTTTATAAAATTACCAATTAACTTCTCGAATATAGAGTTTACTTTCAATTAGTTAAAGTACTTTAATTTATATAGCTTTAAAATATTACCGACCTTTAAAAAAATAAAGTATAGTTTTATAAATTAGTTCGGTTGTAATTAATATAAGTATAATATTAATAATCGTTAATTAGAGGATTATATTATTAGTATTAGTAAAAGACGGTTCCCTAATATAGACCCTATATATCGATTACTTATAATTGATAAGTTTATAATAGGGTAACACGGGTATCTTCAAATATCACAATGCTAGTGCATACTATAATATTAAAGAAGAAGATAATAGAGGAAGAAAGGCGTGGCCGAAGGCCGCCCCGCACGGGAATCCCTTTATAGGAATTCCCTTATCTTATCGCTAGTCTGCAGCTAACCTACAAGTCTAGCGACCGGGCGAGCAAGGCACGTACCAAGGCACGTGCTTAGGCACGCTAGTACCTCTATCGGGTAGGTATAACTATAAGCTATACCCCGTCTACTCTAATTAATTAATCTAATCATATATATAATATATAGGATATAGTAGTCCCGCATCAAATCCCAGCCCTACAAAGAGAATTCTATTATCTTTAATAGAAATAACCTTACTTTCCTTACTTTCTCAAACGCCCCGAACGTTATAGCTTTCTTAAATCCAAACAATCCTTTTTATTAATAAAGCGAACCCTTCGCTATCCATCCACATATAAGTATACGACTCTATACTTCCGCTCGTCGGGTCGGTACTTCCAATAATCTTCTACTAAATCCTTTATTTAATTAAAATCCTCAATATCCTTCTAATAATTATTATAATAACCATATCCCTTCTATTTAACATAGTACCAGACCTTACTATCGACCTATTTATATATAATAATCTTCTTAAATTCGTACTAGGGTCCTTAATTAAAATTAGAATCGCTTTATAAATCTTCAACAGAGCTAAACGGAAAAGCGGAGCGGCCGAAGGGGTCTTTATCGTTCGGGGCTAGGGAGAGGTAAATTACCGAAATTACTAAATATATTCTTATACTTGCAAGTAATTCGAATTTATAGGCTAAGTAGCCTACTTTCTAAATAATCTTAAAAGGACCAAATCGCTATTAAAATATCTTCTAGGGTAAGTGGCCGGGTAAGTAGTAACCGTAATTAAATTTAAAGAAGACCTTATTTCCTACTTTGAATTCTACTTATTAATAACCAACATCATAACGAAGCTTAGCGTCGGCAATAATAAAATCTATAACCAATTAAACTTCTTTGCAAATATAATCTCTAATAGCTAAATTATCCTTAAAAATATAAGAGAGATTATTAATATAAATATTAGTAGTAATATCTAGAAAGCCCATAAACTTATAACCAAAGAGATACTCATATAATAAAATTTTAATATTCTTAATAAAAATACTATTTAAATTCTACTATAAGGAAGGGATAATTAATAACCAATTATAGCCAAATTTATAACAAAAAGCGTAAAAACGTATAACAATCTCGACTGTTTAATTTTTTTATTTAATTATTCTATTACTAAATAGATAATAAATTATAGTTATAAACAATTTAAAACCTATAACCTTCTATATACCTTTCTAATAAATAAATATAAATTTTTTATTATAATTAAAAATAATACTAATAGAAAAGCCCTAATTATATAATAACAAGAATTAAATAATAATAATACCCTATTCTACTGCTGTATATATAGAATAACCTGGAATAAATAAAAATCTTTTAAAAATTTTATTTATAATAGGTAATAAAATATTAAATATTTTATAACCTAATATTTACTATAGCGTATCCTCACTTAATACCTCTAGGAACCTTATAATAAAATCAATAGAAATAACTCTTATAAGGAAAATTTCTTCTAATCTAATAGATTAATAATCTCTAATTAATACACTACGGTCGATTTAATTCAATTAATATACTAAATAATATTTAAAATATTATTTAACAAATTATATCTTATTTAAAAAAGATAGGCCTTACAATTAATATATTATTCTATTACGGCCGAAATAGTACTTATTATTATATACAACCTCTAAAACGTCTTTTACAAATTTATATAGTATATATAGGTTCTTTGTACTATTAAACTAATAATTATAAATAAGGCTATCGCGTATAAAGAAGGAGTAGCCGGTCTTTAAAAAACGACTTCTCCGTCCTTAGAAACCCTTTTACATTATTTAAAATATTCTATAATTTTTATAAACTTTTTATTTATAAAATAAGCCGCTATATAAACTTTATACGTAGTAAGGTCTATTTATACCTCTAAGAACGTATACTATATATTATTCATATAGTAGGCTACGTCTTCCTATACATTATCGAGGACTAGCATTCCGTCTAAGTTACCAATCATATCTCCAACAGCTTTCAAGCGGCTTAGTGTATTGGGTATAAAGTTAAATTTGCCGGGGATATAGAAGACCCTTAGCTTATATTTAGAAAAGTAAATAAATACGTTAATCAATCT